GTGCATTAATGTTTCTCTAATGTAAAGACGTCGTAATGTTTAAAGATGATTTATGTTTGCAGATGACAGTAACATATTTCACTGTTGACAGACCATTAATCAGTAATCAGGTTTACTGCAGACACAAAGGGCTTCGTGCTATTTTAAACGCATGCAGTCATACTTCCTGAAAATAGTCGGAGCGTCTCTGTCCGTTTGATAAAAACTGTTACATTTTTGTCAACGTTTGCTCCAATGTTACTCCAGTGTAATACTACATCTACACTGTGGCGTACCCCAGGGATCCCTTTGAAGTCCCAAATTGTTGCTCATTCACATGAAATAACTCGGCGTCGCACAGCAGCATGCGTGGTTTCCTGTACGCTGTGGTTTTCACAGAGAGCCTGCACTGCAGCAGTTTACTGTGTGATTGAAGATTTTGTGAGAGAAAGAAAGACGTTCTTTTATCAGCTGACACTTTCATTACACTGAACGGCTTCATAAAAGAGAAAGAAACACGCAACTTCCAGGAAGCAGCAACAGCTTCCCTCCTGACTGCAGATTTCACAACCATGTTGAACCCAAGGTCACTTCAGTTGATTCAGGTTTAGAAACATCTGTAGCTCCAGTTTTATTGTTAAAAGAAATGTGAAAAAGACTTTACCTGTTTATTCGCTGGAAGTCTGGACTGATGCTCGCTGCTCGATCAGGGGTACTTAGTTTCAGGAAGTTAACAGATGAAGTGGTTTGGTGTAACCACATCCTCTCACTGCAGCTTAAACTGCAGCCTGACTCATCGTGGGAATTTTTATTATAGATAATGAGAATGAACATTAATAAATCTTTGCACAGACAGCAGGTACCGACTAACCGAAGGGTTGGCGATTCGATCCCAGTCTGCTCCAGTCTGCATGCCACATATCCAAGATATGAACCCCATGTTGCTCTCTGATGCATCCATGTGTGTGAACGTGTGAATGTTGGAACCATTTAGAAACAGCATTGATGGAAGTGCGTGAATGGGTGAATGTTGTGTAAAGTGCTTTGAGTGCTGAGAGTAGAAAAGCGTTATAGAAGAACCAGCCTGTTGACCACTTTGCACCAAAGTGCTTGATGGGATTTTGCCATTTTGTGATTTTTACTGCAAATTAATTCAAACATATATCATAATATTAATGCATATATACCTCTGACAATAGTTAACATGCAGCCAAAGGGAAGCGCAGCTCGGGCTATGGAGGATGTGCTGCTGACATCTTCACATCTGCAGAGAACAAAGATCAATCCATGGAGAGTCCACCTGAGGAGGGTGCTCAAGGTTTCCATACCTGCTAATCCTTCTTTAGGCTCTCAAGACTCAAAGGCCTGAAATCAGACAGAA